CTCACTGTGCAGTGTTTCTGAAGTTGCAGAAGTATTTGCAGTGCGTTTGGTAAATGTAGTTCAGGTGTAGTCATTTGGATGAATGAGTTTTCTGACTTTGTAAAATGTAGCTTAGGTCTAGTCATGTTGATAAAAAATGTTTTTGCATCACATTTATGAGTTTGCCAAGTATTTTTCACTGCACTGTGCAACCGTTAGCATTGATGGACTGCTAGCGCAACAGGAAACAGAAAACCGGCAAACAGAAATACTGATGCGTCATGGCTGCCCCCGTTGAGTTTTTAGGAAAATCCTAATAGTCGGTTAAAGCACCTTCTCGTTTTTATGTCTTTATCTTGCCTTCTAGCTGCCATACTGCAAACTAATAAATATCTTGGCCTCACTGAACTGAACCATTAATCTTATTCATCTTGCATTAACTGAGAAGGTTTCTTCATGGTGAGCTACTGCTGTCTGAAGACAAAAAAGTCATCAGACTCCACACCTCACACACCACAAAAAACAATAGACAGCTCAGATGAGTCACTATACTAGCCTCTTGCAATATAATTTAAATGGCAGAAAAGTTACTAATTCAAACCACGTTAGCCACAACATTCAAATTAATTTTATAATCATATAGGTGAGTTTTATTGATTGTACTTTTTCTTTTTTGCTTGTAAAGTTGATTTTATCTATTAATCCTTTCAGGACAAAATATTATTAAAATTATTAAACATTATTAACCACTGGCTTTGCTGTAGAGCTGTCTAGTTCAGCTTTATTTGCTGTTGTTATTGTTAACTGTGACCCAGTAAACACACTGCAAAGCAAAATGGTGAGAGACAGAGAGAGAGCGAGCGAGAGAGAGAGAGAGAGAGAGAGAGAGAGAGAGAGAAAGAGAGAGAGATTTAGCCAGCTCAGTCCACAGAGATCAACTTCTCATCTGACTTTCAACTTTCAGTTTCAACCACATTACTTTTGCAGTCTCTAGTCAGACAAGAAGTGATACAATCAAAACCAGTACAGCACTTTACATCGTTAGGCTTATCGACATCAGTGCAAACTGAAAAACTGCAGACAAGCAAGTGAAGACACAGTAAATAAGGATACTGATAGGCAGGAAATAAGCATTTTAATATCATGCAGTTACATTTGTAGCTCTTTTGTAGTATTTATGTGTTTAATTTTGTAATAAGTAAGCACAGCTAAAAATTTAATAAAGATATTCTGTAATAAATGGTATTAAAATTACATTATGAAGATGACTTTACCCATCTGTAGCCCATGGACTCCTATTGGGACACCTACACATCACCCCTACAGGAGCTTTGATGACATCCCATCATAAATCCATGGACATTAATATGAAGTTGGTCCCCCTTTGCATCTGTAACAGCTTCCACTCTCTTGGGAAGCTTTCTACAAGATTTTGGAGTGTGCTGTGGGAATTTTGCCCATTCATCCAGAAGAGCATTTGTGAGCTCAGACACTGATGTTGGATGAGATGGTCTGGCTCACAATCTCTGTTCTAGTTCATCTCAAAGATGTTTGATGGGGTTGAGGTCAGGACTCTGTGCAGGCCAGTCAAGTTCTTCCACACCAAACTTACCCAACCAGGTCTTTATGGACCTTGCTTTGTGCACTGGTGCTCAGTCATGCTGGAATAGAAAAGGCCTTTCCCCAAACTGTTCCCACAAAGTTGGAAGCATAGAATTCTGCTGAAGCATTAAGATTTACTTCACTGGAACTAAGGGGTCTAGACCAACCCCTGAAAAACAACCCCATAGCATTATCCCTCCTCCACCAAACTTTACAGTTGGCACAATACAGTCAGGCAGGTAATGTTCTCCTGGCAATCGCCAAACCCAGACTCGTCCTTTAGACTGCCAAATAGAGAAGCATGATTCGTCACTCCACAGAATACGTTTCCAATCCAGAGTCCAGTGCCGGTGTGCTTTAGACCACTCCAGACTGCATGGCTGGGTGCTTGATTTTATACAGTTGTGGCAATGGGACTGAATGAAACACCTGAATTCAATGATTAATCATCCTTATATTGTATGTGGCTTCCACATCAGGCATGGGTGAAATGAATGAAAGTGAAACAGCACATAGAAAGTAACGCAGTGAGAGCTTGAGCGTATTTTACATGTAATGGAAAAAAGTTTAATGTCATTTAGTGAATTTGTCATGTTTTGATTCCACTAACTCTTCACAAACTCACAGTTTTTTTAACTAGTAAGAGGTACAAATCTACGCTTTGACTAACCTTATCTTTTGTCTGTCTTAATGACTTCAGATGTTGACTGTCTTTTTAGTTTAAACATCAATTCACATGCAATCTAATATGATTTTTGTGGACAGTAAAAGTGCCCCCAGTTCATCAAATAGCTGGGCTAGCAGAGTAAGAGGTGGCCTACAGTAAAATATGCCAGTAACTACATCTGAGAGTGTCTGAGTGAAATGTTGCCATGTGTTGCCATGTGTTCTCATGTTGCCTCAAACGTTTGAATTTCACAATATTAAAAAACATTGCAAAACCTTACCAAAGTTTGCATTTGTGCTAACAACGGAGTCTTTGAGCTCATTCTCACTGACATCTACTCTCCATTTCAATACTGCTTTTAATATGCCCTTATCAAATTGTCTTCCACATTTCCGCTTAAGCCATCTCAAGTTGAGTCTAACTTGATAGTTAGCAAACTAAAGACTACACAGCTAACAGCAACAGCAAAAAAGGCCAGTGCACCACAGCTAAACCATACAAAACAATTATTCAAAAAGTTTATGTACTCTGACTTTTCAAAAATGTGGAAATTACAAAGTTTGCTAAGTTAGCTAACTAGCTTACTCATGCTGAGTGTGTTATTGAAAAATCTGCTGATTGTTGTCCCACTATCTGATCTCTGATGACCACATGATGTTAACCATGACCTTTCATAGTCTTCTTTGAAGTATTATTTTGAAGTACATCATATAAAGAGCTGAACACAAGCAACTGGAAACAAATATGGTATGCGCTCCTAGGCGCTCCTTATTACATACTAAGGTTTATTATCCATTAACTAACGGGACTTAAATGCAAACTGGTTAAGCTATTCTTAGGTTGTAGAAGTGTTTAATAAAACTTCAGGCCTGCCGGTGGTCCCTGGCCATTTAAGGGGTTGAAGAGAGCCTGACCAGCAAAGTTGAAATATTATATACATAAATATATAATAAAAAGTTCCACAGGAACACATTTATTTTTGACTCACTCAGGAGGACCATCTAACATTTGACCAACCTAGAAGACATTACAGAGTGACATTGCTTCCTACTAAATACTCCAATCCACCATTGTATTTAAAATGTTACAATCTCAAACTGCAAGCTCTTAACAGTGTAGCTAAATGACAATGCGAGCTAACAGCTTAGCATAAGGATTTGGCAAGCTGGCAATAACAAAGCTAAGAACCCTGCTGAAAAAATGGCACAGAATGAATTCTATGCTGGTCTAAAATGATCTATGCTGGTTTATGCTGGTCTGAAGCTGATTTAGCTGGTCACCCTGCACCGGCATGCTGGTTGACCAGCGTGTTAGCATCCAAAACACAATATATGCTTGTTTTCCTGGTGATCAGCATGTCAACTTGCATTGCTGCTGACCAGCATACCAGCATTCAAAACACAACATATGCTGGTTTTGCTGAAGACCAGCTATGGTGGTCTATGCTGTTTTTCTAGCAAGGTACCTTGCTAGCAAACTGTAACACTAAATCATTTAAACCTTGCTTCATAGCTCACATTAACATACTGAATTAGCATTTCAGAATTTCTTTCAGACATTTTATTTGCATTGCGTGCTCTTATGTGAAAAGATTGGTGTTTAGCATGCTAAGCTAATACTGCGACATTCAAGAGAAAAATCGCATTACCTAGCATCCAAGAGCACCCCAAACAACAGAAAATGAAAGCCTCTATTGTGTTTTTTTAGCCCCACTCAAAGAAATAATTTTAAAAAGTTTTTAAAAAATCCAAAACATCACACTGAGGCTGCATGACAAGCTGAAAACATTCTTAGGTTGTGTAGTTTTTTCCAAGTACAGAAACATTGTTTGATGCCACATTTTCACATTTTAGATGTCGAGTTGTTTGTTTTGTGTTACCCTTTTTGAGCCTTTTTGAATGTTCTGCAAAGATGTTCTGTTTTGCCTGGAACTACAAATGCTCCTGAATTCAAAAGCATGATAAGTATTGTGTCATATTTTTTGTGCACCATAACATGACCAATATGCAGTAGAACTAGAAAGACATAGACATTTATTATTAAGTCACTGACAAATATTTGGGGATAACATGGGACCTAAACCCATAACTTCATGGTTTCACATTTTAGGCTCTCATGTGCTGCTTGTACCCAGTTTGTGCTGTTTTTTCCAGACCTTTTCAAACATACTGTAGCTTTCACTACAGTTTAGCTTGTACTATTTACACAGTGTCCTTCTAAAACATCCAACAAAAGATATACACGGCTATGTGGTGATGGATATACTATGCCTTATTAGAGACCCCCAAACCAAAGTGTGCATCCATTCACAGACACCATTTTCCTATGTGCATTAAAGAACTTAAGACTGGGCTGAAATCTTGGTTGGTTACTGTACATAATGGCATTTATATATCAATTGTGAATTTACATATCAAAGTTGAAAACTCACCATAGGAATGAAAGCAAGAGAGAATAAAATCTTATAATGGATCTTAATGTTCATTTTCAAACTACTGACATACATGAGCTAGTTGCTAGCTAGCTAGCATTATATTAGTTTTAATGACTGTGGAAAAGGCAACAGAAGAAAACATCGCAACACAGGCGTGAGACTTTGCTCTCTGTGGTCAAGATCACTCTTCCTTCACTTTTCTATACACACCATTGTATGACTGCCTAAACAAAAGAGTTTGTACAATAAACAAACACAAGCATATGTCTATGATGCTTTTATTATTCCTCATTTTGATATAGGTTTTATTAATTAAATATATATTTTTATCACATAAAAAAGTCTTTTTACACAAAACAGACAAATTCAACACATACAAAATAGTTTACTCTCATGTTTTTACAGAAATGTACAACACAGCAATCTAAAAATCAGCAAAAAAATCGCTTCAGGTTGCATTCAGTGGGAAATTCCTGTTGATGTCAGTGCTACAATGCTGTAATGCGCAGTCAACCTTTAACATGAATCATCCAGTAAGCACTTATCACAATCACAATCATTTAATGCGTAGCTTACCACAAAAAAACTTTTGAAACGTGTCATACAGCCACCCTCACACTGACCACAGCACAACCTACCATATATGTGTAAAGAGAGGATTTGAATTTTAAGGCATTTGCAAAGGTCAGGTTGTTTTTCTGCAAAATTGGCAAAGCTTACTTGCTTTCTTTATGAGTAATATACTCTACAAGCTATGAGAACATTAAAATCAGTAAAAGTTAAGTCACTGGAAAGGAAAAATGTAAGGTCTATGATGTATATATGAAATGCTCAGTATTCTACGTTAACAACTTGTGCAAACATCATTATACTTGTTAAATGCGGTCACATAATCTCAGAGTCCAGTCATTCAGTTTTGCTAGATTTCGGTAACTGAGCGATTGATGCTGATACGTCTCCTGTTTAAGTCATACATGCTTTTAAACTGGCCTTTGATGGCGCAAAGGATGGTCTTCCTGTACGTGCTGGACAAGAAGTAGTAGATAATAGGGTCCAGGCAGCTGTTAAGAGTGGACAGAAGCAAGGTCATTTCGTTCCAGGAGTGCAACATCTGCTTGTTCTCCAGCCCTTTGATCACATCCATCTGAGCCAGAACGTACGGCATTCGCACCAAATGGTAAGGCAGAAAACACAGTGTAAATATGACAGGAACCAAGTATGTCTTCAGGATGAGCTGCTGTTTGCGACTTTGAGCCTTGGGGTCACCATTCCCCATCTCCATAGTCCTGAGTTTCAGCGCAATCTTCACGTAGAAGATTATGAAGAGCAGGATCAAGACACCAAAGAGGCCCACCACAGTCAGGTTGATGCCACCCGCCAATGACCCCTTGTTATGGAAGTGGAAGCAGATCTTGTCGCATGGATGGGATTGCTTTTTACCCACAAAGAAGAGGCAGCTTCCAATGAAGAGCATGATCCAGACGATGTAGCTGGCGATGCGGCTCCACCAAACCTTCTGGATGCGGAAGACCCAGACCGGCTTGTTGATCTTCAGGTAGCGGTCCATGCTGATCAGGCTTAAGAAGGCAATGCTTGCATACATGTTGATGTAGAAGAAGACACCCACCACTTTGCACAAGTAGGGGGGACCCTCACTGTTGTGGTAGTAGATCCGCAGTGGCAGGCACAGCACCAGGAGAGAGTCGGCCAGTGTGAGGTGCCGCATGTACACTGCCATGGAAGTGTCGGTGTGCCGCCGGAGGAAGACGAACAAGCTGATGGTGTTACTGAGGAGTCCGATACAGCAGATAACTGAATAACTGATGGGCAGAAGGAGCCATGGGAGATTATCCTGGATCTCACAAGTACCGTTGCTGGAGATGTTTCCCAAAGACATCGTGTCAGCAGACCCCTTTACCTTTAACAGGCACTCACTGTCTATAGATTCTAAAATAAAATAACAAAGTACATTGATGTCAATTCATGGACTAAGAGTTTTAAAAATTTTAATTGGGTAGTGGAGCATTTGAGGGTTCTCTCCTAGTAAACATCCATAATTTAAAAGCTTATTTGTATCCTTTAGACCCCATGTGTCAAACACATATCAGGTCCGCCACACAATCCTATCCCGCCCACAAATTTATTTTAACTTTCTATTAATATTAGCCCTTTTACAATGTGCTGCACTACATTCCCCAGCATGCACTGCTACGTAATGTGCTCCGACTCTCTTACCCCAACAATAGTCTATGAATGGGACAGCGGTTACACCTTAATTCTACCCAATTCTGCTCAATTCCACACCAGTCATATCACCAAAATGCATTTCAACTGCAGTTCAACCAATATAAACACTTAACATTAGCTTAGCAGCTCAGAAATTGGGTGCACGTCTTAATGAACTTGCTGCAAAGAAAGGATGCCAGGTGTTCAGTTCAAGCAAATAGGTAGATTTAAAAGACTGGGCACTTGGGGGCATTTAAATTTTGAATATTTCAAGTGTCCATGTAATATTTCAAGGTCTACTACAAGTGCCTGTATTTTACAGTGTGGTTTATAGCACATTAATTAAAAATGAAATAAAAACATTTTTCTCTGGCCCACGAATTTGATGAGATTTTTAATATGGTCCTTTTACTGGTTGAGTTTGATACCCCTGCTTTAGACAATCCGAACAGGTCCATTATTGGGTCTCTTCAGTGTTTTAATTTCCAAAAATGATTTTTAGATACAAACAACTCTAAAAGTAACTCCAAAGCTGAACCAACCCACTGCAGTAGTTGAAAAGGACTACAATACAATACATTGTATAGTCTTTGTCATAAGTATATGATTTTAACAAAGGGTGGTTGAAGATAAAATGTTTCAGTAGTACTTTAAGTACTTTAAATATGATTTAAAATGAATAAAAGTACAAAAAAAAAGTTTTTTAATTCGGCATGATGGTGGCTCAAAAAAAAGGTTTGAAAGTCAACTATGTGTTGAAGACAGCTGAGAGTAATGAAGAGGAGCTCTTACCTGTGTGACTGTCTTCCTTAGCTACTTGACAGGAATGAAGAGGTGGTTCGAAGGCAAGCTCAGTTTTGGCTCTTGCTCTCGTGCAGAAACATCTTCTTGCACTTTGGTTCACCACAGCGCTTTGCTTTCCCTGCAGTTCAGGGAAGCATTAACCATGTTTCCACTAAGGGGATGTGGCTTTGATGAGGTGCACAGCTTATATTAGTTACGTGCGAGATGTAAAATTACCACGGTAAAACGTTCTTCCTGTAAAGCTATAACATACAAATTATGTGTAAGATGTGTCATCTTTACTAAATGGAAGCAAATGGAATATACTTGGGTTGTGCTCCAAATGTTTATTAATAAAAGTAGATTATGCTCAGGTGTGCTGTATATTTATCCTTTTTAAAATTTGAGAGTATTCCATTTTTTAGTATTCAGTTAAAATGAACAGGCTCATTTGCTACATTTACATGCACATGATAGCCCGACTAAGTTTTCACATAAGCCCTATTTGAGCTAGATTAGTTTTATAATGGGGAGGTGCTGTAATTTGAGTGATTACTGTTAATATCCATGATTGTAATCCCATAAGAATCTACCAAGTTCATAGTTTTGCTAAGTCTGCTAAGTAATACTTCTGGAACTAATTACCCTGTAAAGTTGGTTAAACCTAAAGCTCCTTCAGTAATGATAATCCTGTTCAAACCAACTTTTCTGAAATAATGATAACTTCTTTGGTTTCTGTTGACCTGGAGACAAAGTTAATTGTGGTTAAAACTGAGCTCTTGGCACAGTTCCATTACCCTTAAGTTCAAAACAGGAGTACAGTAATCTAATTCTACCAGAAAGACTCCAGAGACAAGTGTGAAGGAAGAAACATTTTAATCTCGATAGGATCAAACATTTTGATAGATAACAATTATTGTTAGCTAAACTAAATTAATAGTTTGGCACAGGCCCCGTCGTCGGCCCAGGTATTGGAACGTCTGGACCCTCACAGATCCTTCCATATAGGGACGGCAGGGGCGAAGCCTACCCCCTGGGCAACCTGGCGGAGACCAAACTCATGGCGGTGGGGAGGAAGAAGGGGAATGCAAAACATCAGCATCTGAAGCAGCAAAGCAGACGTGTAAGTCGAGTCTTTTTAAAGGCAGGTGGAAGCTGGTCAGAGTCCAGTCAGAGTATTGAGTGACATAGCATTGGCGTCTCCCTTGTAGAACTTGCACTAAAGCTTTCATAACATTGTGGTGATGAACTCATTAAAAAGAGAATGAAACTGAATATCTGAAGATACCTCTCACAAGAGCCATTTCTGTCCTGTTGTGCAAAGAGTTAAATGAGCCCTAATGCAATTAATTAATGTTATTCTATATATAATATAAACTGGAAGTTTGTATCTGTTGTTGTTTTTTGGATCTTTTAAATCTAACTTTAATGCTGAAGTGGGGTAACAAAACACATTCTTTATCCAGTATTAATCAGCCAGTCGGCCTTACAAATTACATTACCGGACCTCCTCTGGTGAAACCAGTTCAGCATGAACAAGGTTTAAGAAACTGGACTGAATTAAGACATTTACATGAGTTGTATAAAAGATTAGTCCACATACAGAACCATTTACAAGCATAGCAGCCTGACTTAATTACAATCTGAACAGTTCCTTTCATGATGCGCCATTATGAAGTTTACACACATAAGAGTTTAAAATAAACACTGTTTAAAAATAAAAATCCTGCAAAATGTCACAGTCATGTGGAGATATATTAGTAGTTACATATCCAGATCTGTCTCAAATAGTTTGGCCAATATCGGCCTGGAACACATGATTTAATCATGCTAAGTTTAAGGTCAACTAAGGTCTTGGTCAGATCATGACAATCGATCCGTGCTGTTTACATGATCATATCTCGCAGTTGTAGTTACCAAAATCGAACAATTGCTGGCCATGTAAATGCACTTATTGATGTAGAATTAGTGTTTCATATTGTGAGTAATGTGAGTGACAGTATAAGTCACGGGGATGAGTGTGTGAAACTTCTGCTGGCCCCCAGTTAACACTTAAATGTGGTACGGCCACTTGAATGGTTTCAGTTTCTTTCCTCTGAGCAGGCCTATGCATCAATCTCAAGAACTGATTCAAAAGGAGGGCTATGTATTCATAGACAGTTCAATTAGTCTCATGAGAAGACTAAAAACAGAATGCAACGATGTGCAAATCATTTAAACCCTATATTTAATTGGACATAGTACAACAACAACATATCAAATGTTGAAGCTAAAAATGGTATTGTTTTTTAACAATTGTATTGTTTTTGAAAAAAAGATATAGATATTTTTGAAAAATAAATGCTTTGTACTGATATGCTAATTAGCACATCTAGTGGCATTTAGTGACTTCTCAAAAGTAATTGGCAAGACTGTCAGTGATTCTCCTGCTTGATTGCAAAATATGTTTTGTTCTATGTTAATTATTGATAGTTTAACTTTATTTGGCTAGGTTATGCTAGTCAGTAATAGTTGTTGCTAACTTGCATAAATGAGAGAAAAAAGTTGACCATTCTGTTGCAGACTGAGAGGAGCGAGGTCAATTCTCAGTTAGGTCAGTGACCTAGTGCTGCTAGCAGCTTCATTTCAATCCAAGAGAGGCATTGCTCCTAACCAAGCAAGATAAGCTAACGTTAGTACGAAGCTGAAGTCGGCTTCCTGTTTGCCAGCTTCTTGTTCAAATTTTCCCATTCAATCTTAAATGATGCAGCAGTTCCATTCCAGCGAAGACGATGCTGAACTCAGTTTCCTATTCAGCAGTTCTGGCGAATACGAAACTGAAGTCTTGAGAGAGGCTGCACTTTTCCTGCAATTGGGTCTGGTTTCAGCGCCTTCAGCGCTGCCGATTGCCGATTTCTTAACCCTCCAAATTTTGCTTGGTGATTAATAACACATTTTCTATGGTGTGACAAACTCAGAACACATATATATTACTGCTTTACACAGACTTTAAATGGTGCCATAGTTACGTTCTGGCTCCTGTACTGGTGTCCGTCCCATTTACTCCTGCCTCTGAGCATCAGAAACTGCTGAAATTTGGAAAATACTACAGTCATTTACACTATCAGGCAGGTCCATTGGCAGTACAAGAGCAAATAAGCTCAGCAGTCACTCTGATGTCCACGTTAGGCTATAGCTAACCCCAAAAGTCCATCCATTCCTTTATGTCCACTGCCTCAGATGCAACGGACTAGACTGCAGGAGTAGTAATTAATAAAATAAATAGATCAATATATTTGTACATGTGTTTGTTTAAGGATTTCCAAAGCTTTCCCCAAGGAAACTCTTTATTAATTGTTGCCATCATCCAAAACTTGATTTGGTTAATCAATACTTCTTAATCAGTACTTAACTGGTTTTCAGCAATGTGCTTGGTTGCATGGTAGATGTTTGCATGGTACTGAATATTAGACTCATTATGCTTATAGTTTTTCCATTTGTTGTTCCAGGGTAAGAGCTATGATGGTTGCCTTTGGTTGTCTGGTTCACAGACATACACAGACAGTTATTTTTCACAACGAGGCACAAATGCTCTAAAAACAGCCTTGCAGAATTGAGATGGGCATCAGGAAGTCTTTGTCTTAAGCATGTAAACCTGTGGTTTCAAATATGCACAGAAGACAAAAAAGGTGCGAAATGCAACACACAAATCCTTTTGTCTATATGGTCCCATCGACATTCACACCATCTGTCTATTAACAACAAGCATTTACACCCACACATGTATCAACTAGCCTGTAGACTTCAAAGACTCTCTCTCTGTTACCTCTCTTTGTAAAGTCTTTCCAAATCCTTGTGATGTCTGAACCTTGTTTAATTCTCCTTTGTCTGGTTTGGTCTGATTCTGTTTGTATATTTTGTCTCCAAGCATGTTTGTTCTTTGATAGTTCTCTCTATTGCACTTCAACCATTGCCTGTGTGACTTTGTTCTTGCCTACATTCTTAAAAACAAAGGTGTAAGAAAGGGTTCTTTGGAGCAATGCCATAAAAGAACCATTTTTGGTAACCTAAAGACCCTTTCAATGGATGATTCTTTAAAAAAATATTTTTTTTGGAAATTAGTGTATTGAGAAGTGAGTGTACAGAACCTTGTGGCATGCGCCCGTCCCCCAGGCCCCGCCTTCCTGCTGGCTCTCACAGCCATCATTGGAGCCCAAGGAACAGGCGCATGCCACAAGGTCCTTTTTTTTCCCTAGAACTAAATGTTCAAGTTAAGAACCATTTAGGAACATTTATTTTTATATAGTCCATGGTTTTGTACAATTTATGGTGTCAGCACTCATGTCTAGTTAGTAGATTTGTAAGTGGCAACAATTATGTTTTCACAACCAAATAATGCAGTCATTCGTTTTTTGCTTATTGAGACCTTTTGTTAAAATGGTCCTGGGAAAAGGCTCCCAAGCGGAATCCCCATCTAAGTGTTGGCCCTATCATCGGGAGATCACAAGTCCGATCTGTGGTGATGCCACAGCCATCCGTATCTGGGAGTTCAGGAGTGCATAACTGGTCTTGCTTTCTCTGGGTGGTCATCCCCCACCTCTCTATCACTCTCCATAAAATTAGTCAATACGAGAGTCTGTTAGTAGATGAAACAGAATTGGCATTCTCCTCCAAGCGTGTCGAGCTGTCCAGTGCTAGTCAATTCAAAAAGATGTCATAGCTGCCTTCATGTGTCTCCAAATAAGCATATTCTAGCTAGCCTTCATCATGCCAGCTTGGTAGCTTTGTGTGTTGGGGGGAGACATAACTAGCCCAGAGTAAATAGATAGATGGATGGATGGATGGATGGATGGATTGATACATAGATAGATAGATAGATAGATAGATAGATAGATAGATAGATAGATACTTTATTGATCCCGAACGAAATGTAGCAGCCAGTACCAGTCACACAACACAGGACAGTAATAAGGATGTAAACAATATAACAGGAAGAATAAATATAAAAAAATCCTATCTACAGGCATATATACAAATAGAAAAATACAACAATCTGGAATAATATCTTTATATTAACCTGAGATGAAAAGACACAGTGCAATAATGACTGTACTAAGAGGCACAGGTAATGGCATAT